ATCATTACATATGCACATTTATGTTTGTATATACCGTACTTGACCAAGCATGGAGAAAATTATGAAGCATACCTATAAACTGATAAAATGGTTAGGGTGTAATAATGAAGGGGTTAAGTAAAACGAATAGCTTTTTAAAAAGTATATCTTTAAATTTTTTTCACTTATTACAACAGATACCTATTATTCTGTAAACTAAAAAGACAGATGAAAAAAACTAAAAAAAAAACACAAAAAACCTCAGCACAATAAAAGCAGATTATTCAAACACAAGGGGACAGTCAGAACACAAACCATGAACTATCTACATATTTCCACTTTGAGGGAAAAAACTTGAGTTCTCAACTTACTATTAGTTTCCTCAGCATACTAAATTACAAAATAGGTATTCAAACAAAAAAAAGATGGCAGGAAGAGTAGATCTCTTTGCTGCCGCTTGAAGCTTGTGCATAGGAAAAAGTCTGGGTAAATCACTAAGAGAAAAGGATAATGTCAATTTTGGAATTAAACATCTAAACAATATTTTCAAAGACACGGTTTTGTATATGTTTTCTAAACCTGAAAATAAATTTCACTGACATCAACTTTCTCAACTACAAGTAAATGACCTGCAGTAGATTCCCATAACTCACTTGGGACTCTGACTGCTTTTGGCTCTAGCTTCAACCAATTACCATATACCTGAGTACTTGAACAATTCTTTCGTATTATTTTTATTAATATCATCTATTCTGCAGAGTAGCTACTAAGTGCCAGGCACTGTGCTATATACTGGGAATGCCACAAATTACAATAAGATAGTTCTTGTTCTCTGGAAGGTCAAGGAGAAGTAGACAATTCAACAAGTACTAAAAAAGGGCTACACCTCTTTGCCTGGGGGTAAAGAGAGAGCAGGAAGAACAGATTCACTGGTGGAGGGAGAAAAAAAGGATTCCAGGTATAGAAAGAACAGGTTCAAGGAAAATGAAACAAGTATTCAAGGAACAGCAGAAAGTTCTGAGTGTGTAAATAAAAATAATCCAACCAAATGCTAATAAAATCAAATGGTAAGCTACTTCCTCTTTCTACTTTCTTAAATAATCAACACCATTTATTAAGCTTTCATCATGGAAAGTTTCTAAAGAAAATACAGCGGCCAAGCATTCACTGGTAGCAACAAATACACATTTATAAAACATCACATCTATTGGGTACTACCAAAAGCAGAGGACCTTTTTCCTTACAATAGTTTTCCTTCAATAATTATACCAAAAACCTAATATCTACAAAGATTAAATTACTCTACACAGTGTGCCTAATTATTTTCAGTTAGTTTTCCCATTCGTCTCAAACCATATTTTCACCAGATTTTTAAAATTTTCATGTTTTCAAAAAACTCATAAAGTGAGAAGGGAACCAAATCTTTTCTGCGGACTTTATAACAGAAATAAGAAAAATTAACTTCCCTTCCTTTCCTTGAAACTGAACAATTTCCCAATAGTGGCGATTAGTAAACAGTTTCAGTAAATTGAGTTGTAAAACACTTATGGAACTCCTTTTACTTTGAGGTGTACAATTATGTGATTATTTACAAAAGTTAGATCTTATAACCAAATAAAACATCATCTATTTTATGTCAGTCTTAATTTTAACCCAAAGTCTTATAAAAAGGGGTGTGCAAATATTTTACAGTTCAAAAGATCTAAGTTCATGTCTTTCTCATATTTACTCTTCTCAGGAATCCATAACATTAACCTCAAAGCCAGACAAGCTGAAAAGTCTAGGATGCTTGGTACAACAAAAAAACAATCTGCTACAACAAGCAAGCTGGAGTGAGCAAAGCAACTACAGTATCGGGTTACACAGTGACTGTTGGACTGTAACAAGGGGGGCGGGGGTAAAAAGTACTTGCCTTTAAGATGTCTTTAAATATTCATAAAGTACAGAAGTTATATATATTTTCTCCATCTTTTAAAAAACGATAACTTTTTCCTTCAAAACCTATTTTTCACTGACAACATTTATAATTTACTGATAATTTTCATTTCCAATGGCTCAAGGGTGGGGGGTGCGGGGGGTAGAGCAAAACGTCCAAGTACCTAGTGGTGAAAACAGCATTTCTTGTTTCAATCAAATTATCCTAAACTTTGCCCTTTTATACAATAGTGTTAGCTGATGCTGACTCAACAAGTTTGGCAAGTGTGGCTTTCTTTTTTTTCCTCCCACTTCTGGACCCTTCAAACATTGACAAGAGATAGTTCTTACAGTAACCAGAACTCATGCCAAATCAAGTATTTTGTGTTACTCCTTCAGTGAAGAAAAAAACCTTGCACATATTTTCAAGGTAGAAATGACTGCCTTTACTGAAATAAAATGTTCTATATAAAAAGACAAATGAAAATATCCTAATACTTTTTGACAAAGATATGATTTTCAAAACCTGTAAGCCAAAAAAATAAGAAGTTAGATAAATCTATATGTTCTCTTAATTTTAAAATTGTTTGCTACTTTAAATATTATCCGCCATAAAAAAACTGAACAGGATTAACAAAGATTTCAATAAAAGAAAGCCAAAATCAATAGCTGAAAACAACTCATAAAGCAAATACTGAATTACAAGCACCAAAAGCAACTAAACAAGATGCTGCAGTTTGAAGAAAAGTAATACTTTTAAGTTTTCTAAAGCTAAATCTAAATAAAAATTTTAATAATTTGATATCAATTAAGTCCTTCTGTATACACAAAATTTTTTAAATCCTCATTAAATGCAACTAATGGGATTTAAGCATTTCAAAATCTGTTTTGGTAAGTAGTTTCCCAATTCAATTTTTTTTTTTAAATAATCTTTTGGAAAATACTTGTTCAACTTTTTCAAAGTTTTTATAAATCACAAAAATCTGGGTTTTTGTTTTTATACACCACTGATTTCAAGACTACTTTAAAAAATAGTGGGATGAAATATTATCAAGGCATTGCTGACAATTTCTGAACTTTAGTTTCACTCTAAAATTCACCCTCAAATCTAGAACTGCTGTCAAACAGATCAGATAAAAGAATAAACTGCCCCCCTCCCAAAATGAACTGAGGTTTCCTAAACAATAACATTAACTTCAAGTATAATCCCAAAAACTTGAAATAAAGTAGATGTTCAGGTCTGTGCTGATCACTCTACAGTGCACTAAACAGCACTTTGCTTATAATTTGTAAGGCAGAAAGACACTTTCTCCAACTGAATGCAAATAGTTTTGAATGACATTTAAATACCAGTACATTGTGTTATAAAATGAACTCAGTTAAATAACACCTATCTGACAGTTCTTACAATAATAAACGAGTGAGCATTCTATAGATGTTCCATGTTTGACCAAACTCTTTTGGTAAAAGACTCTTTCGGTTTAGAGTTCCTTTAAAAAAAAAAAGAGAAACTCCACAGCTTCAGAGTAAATATGCATATTTTTGAGAAGTCTCTTTAAAACAAATAACAAGAACACTATTTACAATAAAAACATTCAGTCTTCTACTGATACATGATATGATCAGTACAGGAATGTACCTACCTGATAATAAGAATAATGCACTTATACACGAATTAGAAGTATTAGAAGAGTTGGTCCTGTTCAAGTTATAAATTTTAAGTTCAGCAGTCACTAAGTCAAGTCATTTCTCTTGCAGATGTAAAAACCCAGGTTAAGATGAAACAGGTGATTCAATCACTCACCTAACTTGAAATATAGGAAATAATCAGTGAATTACTGTAAAATGATTTTTATTCAAGCATGCTACACTGCAAACATATGTTAAGAGTAGAATAAAAGTGGTGAGATTATGGCTATCTGGAGAATCTATATTTTTAAATCAAAAGTTAAGGTGTATACAAGTCTGACAAATATTATGGGGAACAGAAGCAAATATTTAAAATCCAGAAAAATCCAATACGTAAGTCAATCCAAGTATTTTTTTTAATCCATCAACAAAGATCATTACTGTACAAAACACCTGAAAGTTAAGATCACTAAAAAATCTTCACTCCTCTTTTCTGCTAACTAATCCCTACAGCAGCCAAAAAAGTTACTTTCCTTTCCACCTATCAGATTAAGATTCTTCACAGGCAGATTTCCATGCCTAGGGATATAAAACACCAAGAAAAATACAGTGCCGATAAGAACCAAAAAGCCAAGTGTTCAGCACAGGAAGGGAGTCCACAAATGAGAAAACACTTGACAGACTATCCCTATCTCCCCTCCCAAAAGCCATTTAATTAGCTTTATGAACATTTACTGCTTAAGTACACTCTCAGCGAGTGTTTCGACGGATCTCCTAACAGGGAAACCACCAAGCGTCCCAACTCTTTCAGGCAGCCGGGAAGATCGGGAGAATTATTAGAAACTGATGTACGCACGATCAGGAGTTCGAGAGAAGGGTAAGCAGTGTACTTGGAAGGTCAGTTAAAAAAAAAACTAAAAAAAAAGCAAAACGGAAAATTGGGAAAGAAGTTGGTCGGAAGATTAGAGGGACGCGAGGCCGATGTCCGGTTCTGAGAGGACAGCACTGCAGGTGCAGACTGGGATTAACTTAGCATTTGGAAATTCTGAATAGAGTTCTACGAAAGACCTGACCCGGGTATAAGATACAAGAACGCTGATACGTGGCTCAGAGCAGACACGCGGGGATGGGACCCGCCCCGCTAACCCTAGGCTCCCTGAATGAGCCCTCAAAGGAGAATCGAAGCCTGAGAAAGTCAATGAGTCCAAGGAGGCCTGCAGCGACCGGGCAACGCCACAGCACCGAAAGCAACCGCGCGCAGAGCCTCCCGGTCAGACGCCTCGAGGGTCAGCCGACAAGAAGTCGGAGCAGCCCCTGGAGCTCCGGGCCCCTCCTGGCCCAGCCTCTGTCCTCTCTTCTCACCCCCCCACAACCTGGGACCGGACCCCTGGGGTTGACAGGAAGCTTCCGGCCAAGCGCTACCGGCAAGCGTGGGGCAAAAGCAGCAATATATTCTTAGCGCCGCGAGTGACACTCACCGGCCCGAAACCTCAAATGAGACCAGCAGCTTCGGGGGCGGCGGCAGCAGTGGCAGCAGGAACCGAACATCCAAAATGGCGGCTCCCTCGGCCTCACCACCGCTACTGCAGGCGGAGGGATCCTTAGGAAGGAGGGAGTTTTTAACTAAACTCACACACTATCGAAAAACTTCGGTCCCTATCTTCTTCTCCTTGTCGATTCCGCGTCCTCTTGACTGCAACTTCTCGTGCTTCCTCTTCTCCAATTATCCAAGAACTCGGACCTCGCCGAGGACTATTTGCCAAGGAGGAGGTGACTGCTCCTGGCAGAGCGACGCAAAGCGTAGCAAGATTCGGGGCTGTCACTGATGACGCGAGACGCTGCTGCCGAGTCACCGCTGCGGAGAGTCTGAGCGAGAAAGATCCGGCTGACCCAGGAGCCGACGGACATTGGTTCCGCTTGGGGGTGCCTGAGCTACCAGGAAGCGACCTGGCCACCTGAAGAGGGCGGGGCTCGCAAGATAGTAGCTAAGGAAGTGAGAGAGGCGAAGCAGGTGGTCTTGGATTCTGTGGTTTTATGGTATCTTTGCAATATCTAACTCATATAAAAAGAGTTAGAGGATGACAGAGAATAATGGATTCCAAGCCCAGTACCACCGCTCAACTATCTGCATTGAACAAGTCATTTAAATTCTCAGGACCTCAGTTTCCTCATATGTAAAATGAGAGGATTTGGACTGGTGACAACTAAAATCCTTCCAGAGTAGGCTTTCTGACTGACTCCATGAACTAATGACCCGCGCCAAAGACAGTCTAGCCAGACAGCTCCTGGCTTGATGAATAATTACTAACACCTGATACGAATATTTTCCATGTAAACGTAAAGAGGGCCATGATATCTTGGCCCATTTAAAGGAAAGATGACGTACCTATACTAAAATCCTTGAGCTAGACTGGCAATAAAGTGCTGCCCAAAGTGAATAAAGCACAGTACCTGGGTAGATGCCAAAGAGAACTGAACTAACCACAAATCTTGAGTTTAGGTAACCACAAATCGTGAGTTTAGGCCCTGTCATAGAAAGGAGTTTGCACTTTTCTTAGCCACTCTCATGCAGGAATTTCAAAAGATTTTACAAAAATTGAACTGAATGGGCCTATCTCTACAATTTTGTTCTTGAACTACTGAGGCATGCCAAGTGACTGGGAAAAAAAGGAAGCCAGGGGCATAATAATAGTAATTTTTTTATTATTAAACATTGATGTCATACTGTTTATCAAAGGCATTTTTTGTGTGTATAATCTAATTTGACCCAGCAATCTTCTGAGTCAGACTAGACAAGCATATGTAATTTAGTTTTACAAATAAGAAGATTGAGGCTCAGAGAAACTGATTTGCTGAAAGACTCTCCCTCTCCCCCATGGGGTTCTGCTATACCATGCCAACTTGCAAGTTAGAAAACAATATACACCCACTCACACCCATACCCACACTTGGAGTGGAATCAAATGGTTTGGGGAGCAGAATGCTTACGGAATTCAGTCACCTTATATTCCCTTCAAGCACTACTGTACAGTGCACCCTTGGGTCACAGTGCAGCCCTAAATACAGTCTGCCCTCAGTATCCTCCAGTTCCCCCTAGGAGGATGCAACCAAATACAGCTAGAAAATATTTGGGGGAAAAAATGTTACATTGTCGCTGATGTGTACTATGTAGTCAGGCATCTGTACTGAATATGTACAGACCTTTTTTGTCATTATGCCTTAAACACCATAGTATAACATCTATTTGCATTGTAGTAGGTATTATGAGTAATCTAGAGGTGATTTAAAGCATACGGAAAGATGTGCTTAGGTTATATGCAAATATCACACCATTTTATATAAGGGATTTTAGCATCCTTGAATTTTGGTATTTATTGGAGTTCTGGAACCAATCCCCCACAGATACCAAGGGCTGACTATAGTAGTGTAAAACTAGCACACCATAATGATGCCTTGACATGGATTTCTCTGAGGTTTAGCTATGCATGAACACATGCTCAAGTACTACAGTTTAAGGCTCCCATAAAAGTAAGGAATTTATAGGGTGGGCAGTGGGTTTTAAAAAAAAAAGTAAGGAATTTGCAGGTTGCAAAGCAGTTAGCTAAAATATTCCATTTGCAATGTGACAAAATTTGCTTAGAGGTCAAATTTAAATGTTTACCATTGCAAACATCAAAAGAAAAGTTAAACCATCTCCTTAAGAAAGAGGATGGGAGCTTTTTTCTACCATGCCAATGGCAGAGCATGAAACAACATGGCAGACATTATAAAAGGTAAACCCCTTTCCTGTATTTTTTTTTACTTATATTTATCTTTATAATTACCAAACCCCTCTTTCAATGTTAACTGAAAAATAAAAGCAATTTACCAAATATATAGCATGGTCATCATTATCCTACAATCTTTGGTTTCTGTGGCTAGCGATTGAAGTTTGGGAAGACTTAATCACCATCTACTCAAACATAATCCCTAATTTCAGGTAAATAAATTACAACACATCAATAAAATAGAACACTATGCTGCCAATAAAAATGGAGCTTATTATCATGGTTTCACAGATTTTTAAAAACATTACAAAGGTTATTATAAAATGAGCTTGTAAAAAGTGTATACTGTATATACATAGGAAAACAGTTAAGGGTAATACTGAAATCTAAAGATGATTATCTTTGGATGGTGGGATTTAGAGGATTTTTTTACTTTATTATGTTTTATTTTTGCAAGGAGTGTACTGTACTTTTATTTGAAAAAAAAAAGCTTTACATTTTGAAAAAAAAGGCCTTATAATGCAGTTTTATGGATCCAACTGCTAAAGGAGATTTTTGTTTTTCAAACAGCAACAGCCTTCAAAGGATTAAACAAATTTCTAGGAAGAGATAATGGCTGAGAGAAAAAAATCATTATTTTTATGGTCTTATTTATTATTGATAATGTGTACACTTCAATTTAACAAATAATAACAACAAACAGAAAAAACAAAACTTCAGTTTTGGGCCAGGAGTGAGACCACCCGGGTGCCCATCCTGGCTGAGTTTAGCTCGCTTTGTGCCCTGAGCAAAGTATTTACCACCTGGGGGCCTATTTCCTTGGCTGGCCAGTATTTATTTATCACTAGCCTTATTCCAAAATGGATTCAAAGTGGCTTATTATGGAGAGAGATCAAATGTGTGAAAGCACTTTGAAAAATATCAAGCATCATGAGAATATAATTATAAAGTTTTTTGTGCCACCTGACAATTCAACTAAAGCATTTATTGATTGCCCACTACAAGTAACAGTAGTGCATTGTGTTTTACAATTTACAAAAGTGTTTTCATATGCATTGATTCATTTGCTTCTCACCCACCATGAGCTTGTAAATCATACAGGCATTATAAAATAGTTGAAAGTGGTGGTTTCTGGTGCTAAATTGCTTGGGTTTAAAACTCTGCCCTTCCTCTCTTTATTGTGTGACCTTTAACAAGTTATTTAACATTTCTGAGCATTTCTGAACCTTGGTGTACCCGTCTGTAAAATGGAGTTAATAGCATTGGCATCTTAAGGCTGGTGTGTTAATTAAATGAGCTGATACACTTAAAGTACTTCGAACAGCAGCTGGCACATAGTAAGGGATCAACAAATATTATCTCTTTGTAGGATAAATATTATTATCCCCATTTTAGAGATGAGAAAACAAAAGCTCAGAGAAATGAAATGATTTGTCACACCTACATACAGCAACGAGCAGACTCCAATAGACCTTTCAACTTTGAACATATCCTTTGGCCCATACAGTAATCATTCACCAAACGTGCTACCTGACTCTTTCAGCTACACCACACTGTTCAGGGTGTACAGAATCTGTAACAGACACTTCAAAAGTGACTATCCATACTCTCCAGATAATTATAATCTCATGGAGGAAAACTAGATTTATTGAAAATCCCCAAATCCCAAAAAAATCAGGGATATTATTACTCAGCAGATACGTTCTAGTTCCAAAAAAAGCAGAAAAGTGAGAGATCACTAGGAGCTAGAGCAGTGAAAGAGGGCTTTTGGAAGACATGGCATGCAGTTGGAATCTGTGTTCCTGGGGAGGGAGGGAGTGGAGTGGTTAGGGAACCCTCTCTCTTGGACTTAGATGCTGATGGGTTCTTAAATGACTCAGTATCATCGGCTGAAGCCATATGACCTTCACAGCAGATGGGGAAAGCCCTCTCTGCAGAAATATGGTCAGTGTTCCACAGGAAACTCTTCCTTCTCTCCATGTGCCAGAGGTCTCAGCAGAGAAAGGAGAATGAAGAGGGGACGCAATCCTATAAGAAATGCTGTGTCGTGAGTTAAACAGGCAGTTCTACTGGCCTGTTTTCTTGCCATTTGAGTCACTGGTATCTATGAATAAGCCTGAAAGTCAGAGAGAAATTAATTAGTCCCTCTGTTGTTTATGTAATGCTTTTGCAGAAAGCATTTTTACAATTCTTTTAAGCATGGTCCCTAATCACCACTTATCCTGGCCTGAGAAAAGGGTTTAGGAATTAATCCTTAAGTTATGACAAAAGCCTGATGTAAAAATTAAAATTCTAACAGCCATTCCATACACTCTTTGACCTCCTACCAAGAACATTGGGAAATCCACTCTACGTTCCTTCAAAGTATAGACCAAGGAGGACATAAGGCTTGGCCAAGCTCACTCTTTGCTTTAGAGATTTTTTTTTAAAGAGGCAGCCCAAAGTGTCACCTGAGATGTTTTATGTCATAGTTAGGTTATATTTTCTTTTTTGTAGTGTAGTTACACTTGATTTGTAAATGATTCTGCATTATGTTGGAACTTTTTGAGTGAAAAATCTCACCAGATACGAGACTGCAACCAAGTCAAACCCCACCTTGAGGAAATAGTGCCATGCTCCCATTTAGGGAAGATAAAACTTGATGCCACTGGAGAAGGTGCACAATCTGGAAACAGAGCAGAGCTTCTGACTCATTGTTTCCTACTAAAGTAACTGTATTGCTTTAATATGGACACTGTTATGTGCCAAGAAGGATCCATGGTAAATTGGTTTTGTTCTTTTATAGGTGCACAGCCCCATCCTTGTTTCTCTAAAATCATTCAGTCCTACAGGTTGCTTTTAAATGAGCCTGGAGAGTCCAAGAAGTGTGGGGACATCCACAGTAACTGGGGCAGCCAGTTCCTGGTACCCAGTTCAGGGAACACCAAACTCCTTCCCCGCCAAGCTCCTCACACATGCCAAAGGATGACCTAGGCCTCCAACCGGTGCCAGAGTGAGGCGCCTTACTCCTGAGGAGAGGCAGCCAATTTCCTGTGCAGATCAGTCCCTGGCCTTGGGTTTGGAAGATCCTCCCTCTAATTCCATATTCTTTGAATAAGCTTGTTTTTTGATAAGGAAGGGGAAATCCTAGAGTAAAACTTTCAAGACCAAGCTGATTTTTTTTAAAGAGAGAAATTGGTGTACAGGTTTCTCTTTTTCCCATGCAAAAGGAGCCATGTAAATGCTCCTGGACACATAAAATAGGATTCTGAAATAAAGATTTTGCCTAACTAATCATTGCATTTAAATAAATTTACCATTTTTCTGTGAACCTAAAACTGCTCTAAAAAATAGTTTCTTAAAAAGAAAAATAGACAGACAAAAATGCCAGTTACACAAGAAACAAACAAAAAATAATTAATGTGGCCATCTTGTTTTCTTAGCCTCTCCTTTATCCAGTCTCACAGAATCACTAATGTTTAGTCCACTGGAACTTAGCAAATAATAGAAACCAGAAAGGAAACATATTTATTGAGCACCTACTAAGTGCTAAAGAGCTTTACATACATTATTTCTTTTAATCCTCATTATTGTCCCCATTTTACAGGTGAGAAAAAGGAGGCTCACAGCTAGCAAGTGGTAGAATCTAAACTTGAACCTAGGCATGCAGGAGTCCACTGATTTTCCTGACGACACTTCTCTCATTCTCTCTTAGTGTTTGCAAATCCCTTCCCTCCAGTTCCTTAGCTCTCTCATGCACATCTGACGGGAGGTACCATTTGCCAAGTCTTATAGCTAGTCAGTACAGAAATGAGATTTAAATACACACCATTCTGCTTCCCTGAAAAAAGTGATAATTATGAGAGAAATAAGAATCCAGGAGCAAACAAAAGTTTACTGACCACGATTAATAAAATTCTGTAGGTCAGGAATCTTCATCTAAGAATTATAGAATTTTAAGGAACAAGAATAATTGCACGATTATATATGTATGTGTAGGCGCGTGTGGGCACATTAGACAGAGAACCATAGCATTTAAGAGATGAAAGGAATTGTAAATGAGAAAACTTCAGACCCACACATCAGTGGTCATATTAAAATTTGTGTCCAGGAGTCCTAATTCCCAGGTAAATATTCAATCCAGGACTAAGAAATTATGTGGGTTTCTTCAGCATTTCAAGCCTCTGGTGAAGATCAAAATTGACTTCCTCGGAACCATAAGGGTCAATGGATAGGCTCGCTTGAGGTCCTACATCAGGCAGATCAGGTAACATAAAGTCATCAAAACCAATCTTGGCTCTTGATTCTTCTGGCTGTGGAGAAGTTTGGGGGTTGACTCCTGGACCTGTTCATTTCAGTAAATGTAATTAAAAGTGACAACAATATGTTCTCCAGAATGAAATCCTAGCCTCAAAGAGAGTAAGTAGGCTCCTATTGCTTTTGAGAGAACAGCATATAATATGGCTGAAAAAACTAGACAATTCCCCCAACATGTAAATGATGGTAGTGGTTACATTTTGTTGGCAATCTTCTTCAGGGGCAATCTGGACTTTAAACACACACACACACACACACACACACACACACACACACACACACAATTTTTCAAAATAGGTGACAGGATGATCTAGTGTGATCTAGTGTTTTAGAAGTTTTTCTGTGTTAAAGATCTCTTTGAGATCCACATTCACTTTGAAAACTGTTAGTTGCTATAAAGGAACACATTACGCTCATGGTAAATCACTTATAACTTCTCTCACCAACGGAGGAGTGAATAGTCTTATAACAACTAAAATCCCTTCAACCAATATCAAGCAATTTCAACACCAGTATTTCCTAAACTTACTAGGAATCAGCGTAGGAAGCAAATCATTCTTCTCATAGGAGTCATTCTGGAGGAAAAAAAATCACTGGGAAGCAACTGGTCTGATTTTCCCAACACAGAATTTGTTCATAGTAAGTCTTCAATAAATATTTCTTAAAAGTAAGTTAACTTTATCACAGGCAAGCTTCCTTCTTGTTTGAGGTGAAGTTTTTTTTCATGCCTTCTGGAAATTGGCTTTCGGTGTGACTGGGTTTTGCTTCTACTGTCACCTGTGGCCTCATACACAAATTGGGAAATCTTTTATCATTGAGCCTGGAGATGCTACTTGTGAAAGATGATTCAGTTTAATGAAATCTTTCTCCGCCAAATAAATGGCAAGAAAAAAAGAAGAGGCAGAAAGGAGGAAGTGTTAGAAGTTAAAAGATTTAAGAGACATATCATCTAAATACAATATGTGGATCCTTTTGGATCTTGATTTTCTCAAAATAACTGTAGAAAAGGATTTCTGAGATAAACAGAAATTTAATATAGATTAAGTATTATATGATATTAAGGAATTGTTTTTCATTGTGTTGGGCATCACAATGACATTGTTTTATTTTATAAAAACAAAGGTTATGTGTCAGAGATATATATTGAAGTATTTAAAGGTAAAATTATATAATGTCTGAGCTTTGCTTTAAATTTCTTCTCTCTCAAAAGAAGTGTTAGGAAGAAATAGATAGATGAAATAAGAGCAGCAGAATGTTGATAACTGTTGAAAATGAGTGATGGGCCGGCCGAGTGGCGCGATGGTTAAGAACTCGCTTGGGATGCCAGAGGGCCCCGGTTCGGATCCCACATATGAGGGCCAGTGACACTGCCCTCTACAGCTAAGATGCTGAACAACAGCTCAACCTGGAGCTGGGCTGCCATGAGTTGCCGGCGACGGCGTAGGCTGCAGTCCCTGTGGCAGTGCATTGCCATGGGCTACCGTGTGTGGCCAACAGCCAGCGTGAGCGGCCAGCAGCCAGCGTGAGCGGCCAGCAGCCGCAGTGAGCGGCCGTCCAGAAGCCGGCGACTGATCTGCCTCGCCAGAGAAGAGCGCAATGATGGTGCCAACTTGGGCCAGTGAAGCAACATCCTCCACAACTAGATTGAAGAACAAAACGACAGCAACTTGTCTGTTCCCCTTTCCCCAATTCCCCAGCACTGTTCCCATCCCCACAATTCCCCAATAAAAATCTTTAAAAAAAAAAAAAAAGAAAAGAAAATGAGTGATGGGTACATGGAAGTTCATTATATTACTCTAATTTTGAATATGTTTAAGTTTTCCATAAAGCTTTCTTTGTTTAATTTTTAAATCAGAGGACTTGCACCCCAAAAGTAGAAGCTGAGCAACACATAAGGTGTTACTTAGACAAATAATTTCAACAAGGACAATCAGAGTTAAATTGTATCTGAAATATAAAATTTTTAAGAAAACAAAAGAGCTTCATGGGGTCAGAAATGCCTAACAGGGTGAAAAGAATAAAACAATTTCTCTTTACTTCATACTGAAGGGGCAAAGAGTAAAGAAGATTAATGCCTACGGCTCTTTAGGTTTCACTTATTTGACTTCTAGACATTTGATTTATGGACATACACAGCAATGAGATTTTTATACTATTTTCATCATGAAAGCAAACTTTTCATTACATATAAATTGCATATGTTTAACCTGAAACAGGAGTCTAAATCACTGTACATTAAAGACTTTCAAATTCATCCCGCTCATACACGTTTTTTTGCAGTCTGTACTGTGGTATTGCCAAGAGGTTGATGAAAGACTATAGCCCTCTTTTCTCATGAATTCGGCATAAAAACACATCAAATAAAAGCTTAATGATTGCAAGTATGCCCTCTGGCTTTAAAACATTTCACAAAGATCATTTTACCATTCAAAAGGCCCATTTAAGAAATACATTCTAGTAGCACTTGTAGTCCTATTTTAGATTTAGTTTCTATACTGACCTGTATTTCGGGAGGAAGGGATGAGAAACAAGGAACTGGGGATGGCACAGGTAAGGGCCCTGGTGCAGATATTGGCGATGCCCCAAGTGAATCACCACGTCCTGCTACAGTTCCACTTCTATTGGCAAAGGCAGCATTCTTGACATCCTTGGTAAATTCAACACTGATCCGGTCTGCTGGGGCTTCAGCCTAAAGCAAGATGGTAAGAATCACATTAGGTTCTCAATTTATTACAGCTTTGTTCATTGTATACCTACTACATGCCACATGCTCTTGGAAGCACTGGGGAAGGAACAGTGAGCAAAGAGTCATGATTCTTGCCATCATGAAGCTTAGAGTCTAGTGTAAGTCAATGATGATGAAAAGCAACCTTCAGGCTTTCTGGCCCACATGCTGCTTCTTTCTCTCTCTCTTTCAATGGCTATGTTTTGAGTGCCTATAACATCTGACACTGTGGTGCACCAATAATTAAGAGTTAGACATAAATATGCATGGAAAAGTCTACAAGAAAGGTTATCAAACCTTAACAGTGGTACTCTGGATTTATTCATTCATTTGACAAACTCTACTGACTACTTAATATAAACCAGGCACAATACTGAGAATGTCATAGTGAAAAAACCAGACAAAAGTCCCTGTCCTCATGAAGCTGATGATATTCCAGTGGGAGAGACAGATAACAAACAAGATCACTAAATGAACTATACAGTGTGTTAGATAGAGAGAAGAGCGACAGAGAAAAATATATAAACCAGAGAAAAGGGAAGAGGCTGACATTTTAGAGAAGGTAGCTAGTAAGGGCCTTAGAAAAGAGAACACTTAAGTACAGACCTGAAGGAAGTGAGGGAGGGACCAGGCAGATAGCTAGAGAACACAGAGTACAGGAAGTACAAAGGTCCTGGGGTGGGAATCGTCTATGTGTGTTTGAAGAAATGCAAGGAGGCCAGTGGCCAACGTGGCTGAGGCAGAGAAAACACGGTGGAGAGTGGAGGGAACGAGGCTAGAGAGAAGAGGTGATAATGGGTGTAGCTTTCATACGAAAGCCATTGGCTATTATTCTACGTGAAATAAAAAGCCACTGGAGGGATGTCAAAGCAGAGGAGTGACATGCTCTGACTTAGGTACTAACCAGATTTATGATGGCTATATTGAACATTGATTAATGGGCAGGAGAAGCAGAAGCAGGAAAACCAGTTAAGAGGCTTTTGCAGTCATCCAGGGAAGAGATTATTGTAAGTTAGACCAGGGTACTGTCAGTAGAGACGATGAGAAGTGGCAGGATTCTGGATATATTTAGAAGGTAAAGTAACTAGGATTTGCTAAAGATTGGTTGGGGGCTAGGGGTTGACAGAAAGGAAAGAGTTGAGGAATATCAAGATTTTTTTTTATATCAAGATTTTTGCCCTCTCATAGCGTTGCCATTAACTGTAGGTTGATGAGTAGGTTCTTGAAAAGGATGAGAACACTTTCAGACATACTGAGTTTGAGATGCCTCTGAAATATCCAAGAGAAGATTTCAAGAAGGTGGGTGAATATCTCAGCCTGGAGTTCATATCAGCTTAGAGGCCCTAGCTAGTCCTCACCATAAACATGGTATTGAAAACCATGATGTTGGATGAAATCACCTAGAGTGTAAGGAAAAAAGGAAAGAGGTCCAAGGCTGACCCCTTGGGCACATTTCTAGTGGCATTTCATGTGGCTTTTACATCTTCACAGTTCCTTTCTGTATTGTCTACATTTTTACAATGTATCATTTTTCAACGAACCACATAACTCTTTGAAAGAGTAAAAATGAGTAAAAGAGTCACTATCAGGAAACCACCAGGAGCAAAGCATCAGAAAAGACACGTGTGCCCCTTAACCACAATCCAATATGGTATGTGCTGCCCCAGCAATTGGAAGGCAGCACTGTGGGAACACAGGGGATGGAACAGACTCCTCTTCTGGCTTCATGACTGCACTAAACACAAGTTTGGCATCGGAGTACAAGGCCATCTTTTACAAAGAAGTCTTCAGAGACAGCTTTATCAATTGCTAAAACAAGTTGCTCCCCCTGTGAAATGATTTGAGAGGCATTAGGGAGAAATCTCTCAGCCCTAAAACAGGCCATGACCACCTCTTGAAAGCTTAATCCACCCTCTGTGATAATAATGATGATGATAAAAAGCAAAACTTGATTACATTTGCGATGTGCAAGGCATTGTATTTAAGTCCCTTATATGTATTAGCTCATTTAACCATCTCAACAAACTTATGAGATTTGTTAATAACCACGAATTACTATTCTCTCCCTTCTTACAGTCCAGAGAACTGAGTCTTTGAGAGGGTAAGTCACTCTCATGGAGGTCTCGTGGTTAATAAGTGGTGGAGCTAGGATCTGAGTATGGGTCGTTTCACTACTGAATTCATACTTTTAACCAAGATTAAATGATAGTGCCCTGTGCCTTCGGATCTTGTAGCCTTTATTCCAAGATCTTTTTATTAAAATGCAAAAATATCCCCAGGACAAAGTTGAGATTTTCAGAACTAAAAATGTTTTGCCAACTTCTGGGTTTACCACTTTAGGTACCTTCGTATTTGTTTTCCATTCTATTGTTAACAGCCATGAAGGGTCATCTGACAGTTATCAGAAGTCAAGCTCTGTTAGGAAATGTGGACAGAAAAAAAGGTACAAATTTCACCTGCTTTACAATCCTACCAGAGCTACTCTGAAAGCCACCCTCCTAAGAGGGAAAAATATTTTGGTGCATAATAAAAATGTCAACTTTAAGTCAGTTCTGCCTTCTTGAAAGTACTCACCATAATGGCTGCCTTGGACTTATATGGCCCATTATAGTCCTTAGCAATTTCTATCAGGTACTGTTCCGCTAGAACCTGGGGCAGAGTGTTCATGTTACATTTACACATTAGCTGCAAAATAAAGAATATAATAGAGTTGATCACACACATACCTACAAAATAAGAAACAAAAAGAGTTTAGGTGGTCTTTCACCTCTGAATTATTGTTCTTCATATTTCTAATCACTGCTATTTAAGATGTATGATTTTTAAAAGATACATAGTTTAGCAACAATAAGGAGGGGTACTCTTTGTATCATAAGACAGCCCTATCCTGAGGTGAAGGAACCTCAAACCAAGTAGGATAAGAGGAAGAAAATAAACATATCATAAACATTTTATGATAAATATGTGAATTATGTCAGAGGTGATAGTCAACATACTCAGCAACCAGTAAAGCAAGGCGCTTGCCAATTAGAATGGATGCCCTGAATGATGAGAATGTCCACCAGCCTGAAACAAATACTCAGCCAGGTGAGCAACACCAGCATCATCTGGGAACTTGTCAGAAATGAAGATTCTTGGGCCCACCCCAGAAATACTGAATTGGAAACTCTGGAAATGGAGCCCAGGAATCTGTTTGAACAAGCCCTCCAGATTCTCACACCTGTTATGGGTTGAAAACCACTGCTCTATGGGATGCTTGTAAAGGTGATCTTTATTTTATCCTTTCAGCTTAGCTTTATTTCTAATATGTTTCATAGTGAACATTTATTATTTTTGTAGTAAAAAGATTATTTAAAAAAGGAGCATGCATGTTGTCATTTGCATTTCAAAAAATGTTTTCATATATAGTTTGGTATGATCTCCATACCACCTATGTGAGGTTTGTATGTTATTTGCATTGTACAGCTGAGAAACTTGAAACTGAGACGTTAGATGGCTTCCCATGGTCACATGATTAGGAGCAACTGGTTGAATTGGCACTCAAGGTCAAATCTTCACACTACAAATTCCTACGTTTTTTTTTAACACATTATGTCATAAAATGAACAAGTAGAATCATGTTGGAGAGGTAACAAATGCAACCTGTCCCATTTGTTATGCACCGCCACAAGTAAAGTCTTACTACCTTGAGTTATCAACTTATGGCTGAGCATGAGGAAATCGGCTTTCCACAAGTTAGGAAAACCTGTGCCTCCAAATTAGACACTCTGTCTGCCCTAAAGTAAAAGTGATGCTAACCACCTAATTGTGAATAGTCAGAGTTACTCTGTCATTGCATACAAATCTTGACAGAAGACTACATTTGAACCTGAAAAATACACAAAGCTCAGTGCTTAGAAGCTTGCTTAGCCAAGTCCAAAGTAGGAAAATGTTCTTTACCCTAGACATTTCCAGACAAAGAAATCACAGTAGAACTGGACTTGTTTTAGATAAATGCTTAACTGTTGTTACACCAATATTAATTCTGACAAACATTTATTGTTTGTCCAAGTTAATAGTTTGTGTTACAAATAGAACCCTGGAAAATCAAGATTATTATATCTTTTTAAAAAGGAATCAATTTAGGCAAGATAGCACGAATTTGCTTTATTTATCTAAAATCACCCAGGCACTCCATATTTAAATGTTTTTCATTTGTAAGAAGAGGCTAAAACATTTCTGGATAATAACATGGATCCCTGGATTATCAGGATCAAATAAAAGAACACGTGGACATGCAGTTTAAAATTCACAAGTTCTGTGTACACCATCAACGTCATCCCCGTTGTTCAAAGTGGGTTTGCCTAAATTTGATTTATTTTGGGTTTTCCTTAGGCCCCTATTATCTAAGTAATGCCCAAACACCCTCTGCAAGATTTGGCTAAATAATACCCAAAAACCAGTCTGGAAGTTTGAATAACAGCTTTCCCTCTATCAACAGATTATAGTAAAATTCAATAGTAAATAGTGTTATTACGGAGCACTCAGAAAACTGCATTTATGTGCAATACTTATTTCACCTGAACCATCCCCATAATCAGAGATCATCAGTTTTTCAGTTTATTGAGGGATTATTCACTCATGTGATCCACTGCAAAGAGGAAAGAGCAAAAGGCAACAGAAAATATGTTGGACTTAAAGAAGACAACACATCAGCTACTACCTCTCTTCATGAGTGTAGTACTACTTTAGCTGTCACCTGATAAAAGAAATAGCATTTTTTTGGGTGTGTTTGAAAGAGGGTAAGGAAGCCTTTCCAGAAAAATTTGCATGGGAGCTCAAACTTAATAGCTACTACACATGTGAAAAAACTTGACGAGATAAAGTGTTCTGCCTTGGTGGAGAGAGAAATCTAGTAATCTGAAAATTGTTTTACATTTTAAACCTTTGGAAACTTTTTAAAATTAAACCTTTTATTTTTAGATCATTGTAGAGTCACATGCACTTTGTAAGAAGTAATACAGAGAGATCCAAAGTACACCTTTACTCAGTTTCCCCCAATGGTTTTGCAAAACCAAGATATTGATATTGACACAGTCAAGATACAGAACTGTCTCTGGAAATTTTTTAAATGATTTGATCACTGTAATAATCATTCCCACATTCCCACCAGTCAGAAACATTATTTTAAATTCCAAAGCTGGTAAGTAAGGTCTTAGGAGATATATCACTGGGCAGGGTGAGGAGGGTAGGGGGTGGTGGGGGAGAAGGGAGTATAGATTGCTCAGTGATCTGGCTCCCTGGAGTTATTACTCATTTTTCTTTCTTTCCAGGAGTTTTAGGCGATGGACAACCAGGTGCAAGTTGACCGGAAGGCAAAGGTGATCAGCTGTGACAGCAGGGCTGAACATGATTTCACCAGAAGGCACAACGACTCATAAATCACCTGCTGAGCAAGTTTCCCAGAGAAAGAAAAAGGTATCAGTGTCATGGGGACTCCATTGTTTTTTATTTTTATTGGGGAACAGTGTGTTTTTCCAGGACCTATCAGCTCCAAGTCAAGTAGTTGTTTCAGTTTCGTTGTGGAGGGCGCAGCTCAGTGGCCCATGTGGGGATGGAACTGGCAACCTTGGTGTTATAAGCACTGCGTTCTAACCCACTGAGCTAACCGGCCACCCTGGGGGCTCCAGTTTTTCAACATACACTTTATTCATTCAACAAGGCCCATGAAATGAATTCCTGACTGCTCAGTAATGGCCTGGATGCACTTGCTTCTCTGCAGACCCAGATATGACTCATGCAATTCAAATAAGGGTTAGGTTTCCTCCAGTTTATTCCAATCATCAGTGTTTTTACTGAAACTTTTGTGAGTTCTGCAGGAAGTTTCTGACAAACATGAAACTCTTTGGCAAATGCCTGAGGAAGCAGACAACAGAGGGAGATTCCCCTCCCCAAAGGACGTATTAGTCACTTATGGAGACATTATAAGACCTCCTTCTAAATAAAATATTAATGAATTTGTAAGGGAAATCCCCATTGGAAGAGATCACATAACATTAAAAGCATGTGGAAATGAGGACATAGAATTGTTCAGAGAAGAAGATAAAACACAAGCTTAAAAGTTACACATTTCTATATTGGGACCTCTAGAAAAGCTTTATGAAAAATAATCTAATACCATACACCAACATGTTTCTAGGGAAAGCTAAATCCAGTAAGTATTTCGATAATTTCAATGTTGCTTGAAGTTAGTTTTGCTTTCTATCACTGGCATTCAAAGACAAAATTCCTTTCCTAAAATTGCACCTTTACATGCTAAAGCATACAAGCAGGAAGGTGTGACAGTATGAAAAAAATGCCACCTCCTCTTGTTGTTATGACACACATGGTTTCCCAAGTTACAAGTTCAAGTTTGATTCCTTAATGTCAAAAAGAGTTGGGATAGTTGTCTGAGCTTCCTATGCCTGTACTACAGATCTAGGAAAAAATCACCAAGGAGGAACTAGGTGACCCAAAGAGATGGACTGAAATTCCTGCCTGCTTAGGGAGGAGAATAACCAGCATGGTGGGCTTTTGTTGTTGTTTTTCTACAACAGAGTAGCTCAGGCTCTACCATCACACAAATTGAATCTGCACACATCAAAGGAATTGAACAGGAATCCAGAAAAAGAGAAGAAAAGGTGGACAAAACAGATTGAAATTTAACTCTTCAGTCACCAAATGTCCCAAATACCTTTGAAAATCTCTTTTCACTTCATCAGTTCTTTAAACTCTGTGGAAAAAAAAAAGTCAGTGAAATAATGAAAAGAAATGAAGGACTTTCAGATGAGATTGAAAACAGCAAATAGGTTAACTAGATACATAGACATGAGGAAACGGGAGCAAAAGGATTAGCAAGAAAAGTCTCCTACTGTGGGTTATCTTGGTGAAATTCCATTCGACAACTATTTATTGAGTCAGTTACAGTGTTTTAGATGCCAGGTTCACTTAACATAAATAACTTAAATAGAGAATTATCCAGGTAATAGAGAATAATATAGATATTCAGAGAAATAAGGTAACTTTGTTTATTTTAGTGTCTTAAATCTAAAAACTATCTTAGCTTACTTACCACTACTCTTATATTTCTGTTAAACTGACACTGTGGAGCTTCATACTATCAATATGTATGACCAAAGAAATCAGGATTGCTTGGAGTAAAGATTTCTAAAACAGGGTACAGCAGAGATAAGACTCACCCTTTGGGGACTGCAGCACCAAACCAGGAAATCACCTGTGTTTCACCATTCAGAACATCCCGGTTTTTTCAATCAGACGCACCTTTGCATTACATAATTATGTTAATGCAGGTATTCAAAAAACCGTCTTGCTTGCATCTACCTCTGTCTGAAGAGCAGTTCTCTGAGTGCGTATCCTGATCTGGGAGAAATGAGCTATCCTTGAATACGCCTGGATGGTGCAAGGATCTCTATCCTTTTTGCAGTTTTAATACGAGTTTAGTGAGCTAAGCAATGAACTAGAAACCAGAATGCCGGTTAGCACTAAAGCAGAATCACTGAGTGACCACAGGGCTTCCTTCTTGGTCCAACAGGGAGAGAAGATGACTGTCACGAATATTAACATTCATGAAGCAAAGCCTGACTCAGATGGCTACAGATCAGTAGCTTCACTATGTTTTACCCACTGGTGGAAGGAGTGTGTGTGTGTGTGTGTGTGTGTGTGTGTGTGTGTGTGTGTGTGTTAGTTCAATAATTTTGATGATCCTTTGTGCCCATTCAGGTAAAAAAATATCAAAATTGAGGCCTAAGGATTCCCTCGAAATAATCTTAGAGATCATATACTTTATTTGTATTTTAACTTACTCATTTTAATATATCTAAGGTAATATTCTCATAAAAAATCCAAACAGTAACAAAAGTCCCTTTTGTTCCTTTTGGCCACCACCCAATTCCACTTTCCTCTCCCAAGATAATCAATGTTAACTAGTCATTACATACTTTTCCATTCCTTTTCTGTACAGGTACAGGTGCCAAAAAATTGTATACAAGTGGACACTTTGGTCAACATTGCTCAAGCAGTAGTTTGCTGTAATCAGAAGTGTCTGGACGCTGATGGTAACCACTTTGAGCACCTCTTGTAATTGCAGAAGTCAAACGTGGCTTGTATTCATCTTTTGTTATCAGTGTATATTATTACAATTTTAACAGTTTGTTCCTTTCTTAAAACATGTATATATATTTTTGACACCCTCTGTATATGCAACTACAATGTTATGTCTTTTTACATTAAATACATATTTTACTGTACATATTTGCTTATTTTTTCACTTAAAATATTTAGAGAGCTCTTCTATCTACATTTTACCCCCACACCTTCATTTAGTTCAAGCTCCTCATTTTGTGGAAGTGGAAACCCAAATCCAAAGTACTAAAATGACTTTACTAAGGTCAGAGAGCTACAGAGTAGGAACCAACGCCCAGCCAATACTTTTAAAATCAAACAAAAAGTAATTACTATTTATTGAACAGAGTTTGAAGAAACTAAAATGGAAACAAAAAATCCACTCAGCAGCCAATCTCTCCAACAGTTAAACTTATTTTTTCTCGGTTTAGTTTATTTTGTCTGTATGCAGAACTATTATTTTTTACACAGTTGTAATCAAAGCACAAATCTAACTGCTCCTTTTTTTTTTCAGTTAAGTTAATCGTAAGTTCATGTTACTATTAAGTTGACTGGTTAATCTTCAGTGAATGGTGACTTAATATTTCATTGAGCAGTCAAGTCCTCTTCCCACTAAACTTAAGCTGCTTCCCACTGTACTAAACCTCTTCCTCTCATTCCTTACAGACTTTCAAGTCTCCTACTACTTGCTTCATCTTCCCCTAGATCCTGAGATCGGGTCCATTCTCATTCCCCTCAGAGCCATTTCTCAACTCTTAAAGAGCTCCCATCTGGACCCTGAGTCTCCAGGGGGATCTCCTTCCTCTCTTGGGCCTAGATCGCCTCGAGGCTCCCCGAGTTTCCCCAGGGGAGTCTTCACAGGAAATGAGGGTCGCCCCAGGGATCTGTTTGGGAACCCCTAGAATTTACGGGAGTAGTAAGATTGCGGGGTCATTGAGGGGTCAAGGTGTGGGAGCTCGGCCCAGCCCTGGATTCACGTGACACAGGGCCAGGGGGAGGAGTTTGTTTTCTCACCAGAGAGGGCGCTGGGGACAACAGGCTGAGGGCCAGGCCCCCTCCCGTCGCTCTCAGGCCCAGGCGTGACGCAATCTCCCCGCGCCGGGGGCGGGACACGCTTACGCCATCTCCGGGCGCCCGGCTGGGGGGGCGCTGGGTGTGGGGCGGCTCCGGGGCCGGGGATGGCGGCGGCCGCAGTAGCGGCGGCTCCGGGACGAGCGGGAGGAGCCCGAAGAGCGTCGTGAGATGGGCCGGTGAGTGTCGCCGGGAGTGGGGGCTGCCGGGCCGGCCTCACTGAGGCCAAGCAGGCCTGGGCTCGGAGCTCCGGAGGAAGTGGCCCTCCGGAGCCCGCTGCCCCGTCGAGCCGGGGCCCGAGAACCGCGGACAGATAGAGCGAAAGAGGCCGCGTCTAGACCCCCGCGCACTTCCCTCCGACCCAGCCCAGAAGGCTGCCCCAGGCCCCGGCGTCCCCATGGCTGTGTCTCCACTGGTCGGGGTATCTGAGTCCTTGAAGCGGGAAGGGGCCCCCAAACAAGGAAGCATCACCTGCCAGCCCTCGCCCCTGCCCCACTGCTTGAAGGGTCTACTCCCCTCCCCCAAACGTTGACTTCCCAGTTTCCGGCCCTATCGTTTTTGGAGCGAGGATTGTGGGATCACGGGAAGCCATAACCCCTAGTATCTTCCAAGCTCCTCTTTCTGGCGGGCGCGTATCTCGCCCTCAGCGAATTCTGGTCTCTTGATTCCTTGGCTCTGCTGGCACGGTTGGCAAGTCTCTGGAACAGCCCTCCTTCCCCGTTAGCTCGGTTGGGGTCACAAGCTCCGTCTTCCCCTTGAGAAATCCTCATCGAGGCCCTCCAGAGGCCGGGGTTTCAGATTCCGAAACATGTTTTGCGTTGTGGTAACCCGGTACACAGGCTTGTCTCTTTGTTGTCATTCCTGCAGACCTCTTGTCTCTTTCAGTCCTTCTATTAGCCTGTGTTTGGCTAACCCCTCAGTGACCTAGAGGCGGGTTTTCTTTAATGTTTGAGTTGCAGGGAGCAAGGATCATTCTGGGGTTGAAGACGTGACCCCCATTTTTGTTAGGAATGAAGGAGAAGGCTAAGTGCTTTTCGGTTACTGGAACTGCCGACAAAGAAGGGATGCAGGACTTGTGCCCATTGTGTAATTTGTGTTTATGGAACTAAGAATTTGTCTTTCCACCTTGTTTTCTTGTCTTATCACCTTTTTGTGTACATCCTTGCCAGTAGTAAGAGATAAACGTTGTCTTCAGTTTGGTTTGAGGCTTGCAGTGTTCTGTAGAACTTGGACAGGACAGTGGGTAGTTTCTCAGTACTCGGTACTGTTTCTGTTTTCAGAGATTAAAGCTCCATTCTTCAGTGCTTGATGTGTCTGGCATGTGTAGATTCAGATATTGACAGTTCAGTCTGAATTTTGTTTCCCCATTGTTAACTAAGTGAGGACCAAGGCAATGTTTTTAGTTTCTGTCACACCTGATTCAGCACTTAGTACAAAGTTGTCACTCAGAAAATTTTACACACACCCAGGAGACCGTTTTTTTTTACCCTGAAAAATCTGGTAATAAGGCTTCCCCTTGAGTGACTCCCCCTTGACCTCTTTTTCTGCCCCAGAAACATAAATAATTGTTCTTTTTCCTCTAGTGCCGTTTTTCTCATTTAAATAACCTCCACAACTATGTTTTCATCAGCCCTGAATAAAAGTGAAAGCTGGGAAGTTGGTTTTTCCTGCTTCCCATTGTTCACATGGGAACAATGTTGAGTCTTCCACTTTCATTTGTGCAGTTACCTGGAATTGGGATTGGAAGTAAATTTAACCTTTGGGGAAATTTAACAGGTAGAGAATGAAGAATATGATGTTAAGGAAAACAATGAAGTTTGACATGGAAAACTTTATCCAGGGATGTCTTCCTACAAATTAAAGCTTAAGAGATGGCTTTTTTCTGTAATTAACTGCCTGGGTACCTGGGTAAATGTGATGTTACGCCTGTAGTAGAGGAAGAAGGGACTCGTGGAGTTTAATATCTTTGTGGCTTTGGAGTTACCTTTCTTGATGACGCGGGATGGTCAGAGGCCAGGCTCCTGCTTACTTTACCCCTATGTCTGTCTTCTAGGCTCCCACGCCAGCGGGGAGGACACTGCTTCTTACTACAGCTGCTCAGAAGCACTACTGGAAGCTCAGGTAATACAGGTGCCTTAGACACCTTGTTGCAGAAAAACATCTGGGATTCAACTGTGGAGAAACAGAACAGAGTATAATGTAGAAATCTCTTTTCAGATCTAAAGAACTGGAGCCTGATTGGAAGAAATAGGTGACAAAGTTCATATGCACTGAAGTGTTCAGACCAAAAAAGATACTTTATGACAATGGACAAAAGCATGTATGAAAGGTGACAACAAGAGAAAGGGGAGAGAGAACTTTCTTAGGAATCATATAGACCTAAGAGTAATAAACAGGCGTGCTTGGAGGAATGGAATCAGAATTTTAGGAAATGGTGCCTAGAGCAGACCTACAATGGAATAGGAGCCAATTGACAAAGGAAAAAAGGAAGGGAATGAATGAAGAAGGCAAATTGTAGGTGGTCTCTGAGAAGAAAAGGAGTCTTGCCAGACTAGGGAACAAGAAGTCTATGTGAGGTCAGAAGAATTTTGTTGCTTTTTGGGGAAGAGGAGAAACAAATAAATTGTAGAATATGGTAGTACAATCACTCTCGCCACAGAGCCTGAGTTTGAATGTAGTATTTCATGGGGCAAAGAAGATACTAATGTTCATTATACTTTTATGGATCAAGGTTTAAAAAAACAAGATACAAACAGATCTGAGGACTTACTGACACTTGGGTCCTTGAGGTAGTGGTGACATGAGGCAGAAGAGGACAGAGCTTAACCAGGCCTGAGGTGGGAGGAGCTGGGGATAGGTGAGATCATAACTCAAATTAGTCTGAGAAAAGGAAGTGAGGATGAGGTCATATGTTCAGGAAAGAAGATAGCATAGTAGTCTTTGGTGGCAAAAGGAGAAACTTAGAAAAAAGAGGCAGCAGCAAAGACCATGTGTTCAAATCCCCCTTAGGGGAGAAGGCTGAGACTAGTCAAGGTCCCCATCAGAGGCACAACTAATCACAAAGCTGCTGGTTTCTCTGGGGTTATTAATGCATCATTGAGTGCTTGTCCTTGTAGCTCTTTGTGGTTTCTGTGACTGTTTCTTTCATGTCCTAGGCTGAATGAGTGAGGAGGGTAGCATCCTTGTCTGCCCCTCTCTCATACTTCTTTTACCCCTGGCAGTCACCTTTGTTACATCTTCCTTCATGGGCACAGTTCTGCTATTTCCTTTGACTTAGTTCACCCCTAGGTTACTTTTCTTTGCCTCTGATTTGTTCCCTAGCAGATGTGGGCACCCCAGCCAGCAACAGAGAGGGGTGCAGGGGAGCCACAGAGAAGCCCCTTCTGATGCCCCAAGGAGCAAGCCGACCCCTTCCAGGCTCCAGGAACACTGCAAAGCAATATGAAACCTGTTCATGAGAGGAGTCAGGAATGCCTTCCACCAAAGAAACGAGACCTCCCCGTGACCAGCGAGGATATGGGGAGAACTACCAGCTGCTCAACTAACCACACACCCTCCAGTGATGCCTCTGAATGGTCCCGAGGGGTTGTGGTGGCTGGGCAGAGCCAGGCAGGAACCAGAGTCAGCCTAGGGGGTGATGGAGCTGAGGCCATCACTGGTCTGACAGTGGACCAGTATGGCATGCTGTATAAGGTGGCTGTGCCACCTGCCACCTTCTCCCCAACTGGCCTCCCATCCGTGGTGAACATGAGCCCCTTGCCCCCCACATTTAATGTAGCGTCTTCACTGATTCAACATCCAGGAATCCACTATCCCCCAATCCACTATGCTCAGCTCCCGTCCACCTCTCTGCAGTTTATCGGGTCTCCTTATAGCCTTCCCTATGCTGTGCCACCTAATTTCCTACCGAGTCCCCTCCTCTCCCCTTCTGCCAACCTCGCCACCTCTCACCTTCCACACTTTGTGCCATATGCCTCGCTCCTGGCAGAAGGAGCCACTCCTCCCCCCCAAGCTTCATCCCCGGCCCACTCATTCAACAAAGCCCACTCTGCCACCACCTCACCTGGGCAGTTGCCACATCACTCGAGTACTCAGCCATTGGACCTCGCTCCAGGACGGATGCCCATTTATTATCAGATGTCCAGGCTACCTGCTGGGTACACCTTGCATGAAACCCCTCCAGCAGGTGCCAGCCCAGTTCTTACTCCTCAGGAGGGCCAGTCTGCTCTGGAAGCAGCTGCTGCCAACGGACAGAGACCGCGAGAGCAAAATTTAGTAAGACGAGAAAGCGAAGCCCTTGACTCCCCCAACAGCAAAGGTGAAGGCCAGGGACTGGTGCCAGTGGTAGAATGTGTGGTGGATAGACAGTTGTTTTCAGGTTCTCAGACTGCACGGGTGGAGGTGGCAGTGCCAGCACACCGAGGGACCCCAGACACCGACCTCGAGGTCCAACGGGTGGTTGGCGCTTTAGCTTCTCAGGACTACCGTGTGGTGGCAGCTCAGAGGAAAGATGAGCCCAGCCCCCTCAACCTGTCCCATCATACCCCTGACCATCAGGGTGAGGGGCGAGGGTCAGCCAGGAACCCAGCAGAGATGGCTGAGAAAAACCAGGCCCGAGGGTTCTACCCTCAATCCCATCAGGAACCGGTGAAACACAGACCTTTACCCAAAGCAGTGGTTGTAGCCAATGGCAACCTGGTGCCCACTGGAACTGACCCAGGCCTGCTGCCCATGGGCTCGGAGATCCTGGTGGCATCAAGTTTGGACATGCAGGCCAGAGCCATCTTTCCAGACAAGGAGCCAACGCCACCCCCCATTACCTCCTCTCACTTGCCCTCCCATTTCATGAAAGGCGCCATCATCCAGTTGGCTACAGGGGAGCTGAAGAGGGTGGAGGACCTCCAGACCCAGGATTTTGTGCGCAGTGCCGAAGTAAGTGGGGGACTGAAGATTGACTCTAGCACAGTCGTGGACATTCAGGAGAGCCAGTGGCCTGGATTTGTCATGCTGCATTTCGTGGTTGGTGAGCAGCAGAGCAAAGTGAGCATTGAGGTGCCCCCTGAGCACCCCTTTTTTGTATATGGCCAGGGTTGGTCCTCCTGTAGCCCTGGGCGGACTGCACAGCTCTTCTCTCTGCCCTGCCATCGGCTACAGGTGGGAGATGTCTGCATCTCTATTAGTTTACAGAGCTTGAACAGTAACTCAGTTTCTCAAGCCAGCTGTGCTCCTCCAGGCCAGCTGGGTATCCCCCGAGAAAGGCCTGAGAGGACAGTCTTGGGACCCAGAGAGCAATGTGACAGTGAGGGGAAGAGCCAGCCGTCAGGCGAGGGCTCCCAAATGATAGAGCCCTCGCAGCCGGAGCCTGGTGCTCAGGCCTGCTGGTCAGCCCCAAGCTTCCAAAGATACAGCATGCGAGGGGAGGAGGCACGGGCTGCACTGCTCCGTCCCTCTTTCATTCCACAGGAGGTAAAGCTGTCCATCGAAGGGCGTTCCAATGCAGGAAAATGAACCTCTCTCCCAGACCGGACTGGGGCTTTACCCCGGAGCTGGGCCTCACCGTGAGCAGGCAGAGGATTTGCACATGCCGAGCAAGGAATGGCTCTCTTGGCAGTGAGATTGGTGGGGGAAGAGGAGGCATGAAGGCAGCCTCCCAAGGCAGGGTCTGTTGCTCATTACCCCATGGCATCCTTTCAGGATAGCCCCAGAGGATGCTGTGATGGGGAGCAGCAGGCCTGGGCCAAGGAAGGAAGGGGGTGCACGCAGGATAAGAAACATTCCAAATATCAGGGCCTCCCTGTTCTTTCCTCCCCATCCCTAGCTCCTGCAAGGAGAAGTCAGGCTTTGGGAGCAGGTGGCAGAGGGAGGGAGCAAAGAAAGAGCCAAAAATGATGATCCACAGCTTATAGTAGCAGTTCAACTGTCTGAATTTTTTTCCCTTTCTTTTTTGTGGTGGGAGGGCAGGAGGCCCATGGTTGGAATAAGAGGGTTCCCACCTAGAACTCTTCTTTTGAGAGCTGTGCACTTTAAAAGGTAGTTTTGTTACAGATGTCTGTGGCTAGTATGTGGGGGAAGAGCGCTTATCTGCAGGGCTCGGGTTGATCCTGCTTCAGCCCTTCCCCATTTCTCCTCACCGTTCCTCCCACAAGGCTCCTAGCACCAGAAGAGAGAAAGCCCCTCCAGGGTTCAGAGTGAAGTACTGCTTTGGCGGGGGACTGGGAGAAAGACCTGATGGCCAGGCTGACCAGGCTCTAGGTAGGGCTTATGGAAAGGTAGCAGACCTAACAAAGCTCCTCCTACCCAGCATGCCAGACCCGCTTCAAAATTGTACCGAATCGCTAGTTGGCCATGGTGACTTCTGAAAGAATCAGTGGACCCTTTTCCCCAGCCCCTGCACTCCTCTTGTGTCTGTCTATGTTGTACCTAAGTGCCTGCGCGGCCCCCACCCTCCTGCTGCCCTAACCTCTGTGCATGATGTCTTGACCTGGGCCTAATTTGTAGCTGCACTGCCTTTGCCCTTCTGTGAAAACAATATTGGTTTTGTCCACTCTGACCAAGACCTCTAGTTTTTGGTGTATAGGGGTCTCGCTGGTTTCCCCCTCAGTTACATTCTCTATTTTTAAAAACTCAGAATCATGTCCCCTCCTCTGCACCTGAACGGCTTGGTGGAGAAGAAAGAAGGGAAGTGCGCCCTGGGTCAGGGCAAGTACACCTGGCTGGGCAGTGCCCATGCTGGTGTTTCACACAGCTCCTCCCTCTTACTCCACTTCCTCTCCCGGCATTCAGGCTTCTCCAAGCTGTCTCCTTTCACAGCCAGCTCTCAGGCTCTGGGATAATCTTGATAATGTTTCAATACCTGAAGTCTCCTATATTTCATTTCATGGTAGAGTATTCCTCTGCAAAGAGTATTTTAAATCTTAGTTGCATTTGCCCCCCTATGTCTTAAGTCCATGTTTTCTTCACAACTTTTAGCATCAGCTTGGACTGTGGGATTCCACTGGGTATTGAGAATTAGGCTCCCCCACCAGCTTTCAGGTGGGTGGGTGGGTGTTTTGTTTGTTTTTCAGGGGTCTTTAGACTCTTGAAGCAACTCAGGGTATTGTCCACCCAGCTCTCTGGGGAGGCTTCTCCCAGGGTATGGTCCTGGCATTTCCTTTAGAAATGTACTTGGACTGGCTGAGGCCTGGCCTGTCATCATGAGTCTCAAACCTCTGAGGTCTGATCTCTGTCTGTTCCGTCAAAGACTTCAGGCAAGTCTTGTGACCTCTCGCTCTTTCACTTCCTCCCCAGCTGCCAAATGGGGATAAATAATCTTACCTACCTCCTGGGGGGAGGGGAACTCTGAGAATAGAGTCATTCTTAGTGTTCAGGTGCTAAAGGTTGTTCTCCTGGGGGAACAAGTGACTGAGACTGGCTTGTTTGTTACAAGCCCTACACTCCACTGTTTCATTCCTTGAGAGCAGTTACCTGGTCACTCAGCTTTTGGAGGCTTATCCAAAGGAAGCTGCTGACCTGACCGCAAGTACTTAAGTCTTTGGTTCACCTCAGAATCAAACACCAACCCTGTCTGGTGAACACTCAACCTTCTATTCATTTGGGATCATGCCCTTTCCCTTTTCTGTCCCCCATTCTCTCTGAATGCTGCTTTCTCTGGTTCCTTTCCTACCGTGGGGGCCTGTGGGCTGAGGTCTGAGGAATCCTCTCAGATGGTGGCCCTGGGAGAAGGCCTCATCTCCGTCTGGTCTATGATCAACTCATTCCTAGGGACAATTGTTTGCACGGGTTTCTCAGAAACATCCTTCCTCATAGGAAGGCTCATCAGTTGAATATAGTGACATGCACACAGTCAACACTCAAAAAATGTCCACCAGTGACACCAACTAAGCCTCCTCCTTATGGAAGCAGACCCATATCTAACCAGATACAGGCCAAATAGTTTAAATCAAATAACCCTCCACTACCCAGCCTGGTAACTTCCACTTGATTCTGGAAAGGGAAAATCTTGCACACCTAGGCAAGTTGGGCCCTGACCTTTCTGCTGCTGTTCTTTGTCTCTTGCTGGTAAAGCAATACCAGCAGCTCCCCTGATACTGTGCCATGCATATATAATATCTTAATACTTCATTTTGCTGAACTGCAGAGGTGTCTTTTATAGTATGGTCTCTCGGGAAAGGAAGCTCTGTGCTTTGAATCTTGGTCAGAGCTGTCGCATTCCCCTTGCCTTTTCCCCCTGGCTCAGTCTGTCTTCCAGGCATGTGGAATGAGAGGAACCTATGGTGTGTCCATTCTCCTCATAGGAATTTCATAAGTTTGGAAGAGACTTAAGAGCAGTTTTGAGAGAGTGAGCCTTTTAGTGGGAAGCTGTCAGCTTTTTGGGGAATGGGCAATTGAAAAAGGCCAGAGCCAGTCGCTTGTCAGTGGGAAGCCATTCCCAGAGCTTAGGGATAGGAAGGAGGACTGCTAACTTTGGCAGTAATCAGAAATGCCTGTACCACTTAGGGAGTAGGGGAACCGGGTAAAGGATGGGCAATAGATCCAAGTCGTGGATTATCATTCTTATCATGATTCGTGTACATGGATGGCAGCGGGGAGGGGCCGTGGGGAAGAGGGACCTGGGAGTTCAGAGCTGAGTACTTGTACCCATGGGGAGGGGCCCCAGTGGATCTGGACTGACCCTTCTACACTCTTGGTCCCAGTTGGTCGAAACACCAAGGGCTTTGGTCTGTGCTGCTTTGCCACTGCTGCTGTCTGCTCACTGTCCTGCCTGCTCCTCTTTACAGCTTGTGTGTCTTTGGCTATATAGATGAACTCCCGGCACCCTGTCCATTCTTACCTGTACAAGTGTTACTTTAGAGCAGTCACGGTGACTAGGGATAGTATGACATGCTGCTGGTGGGCTGGTGAATCCAAAGGGATATGGCTTCAGTACTAGCGGGCAGCCCTTTGGTTCCAAATATCTGTCTTGAGGGAGAGACAAGCAGGTCTTACTAGTGGGTGTTTCCTGTGTATTCTTTCCTTTGTGGTATCTTGTATCCTGTTTTTAAAAATAAATGATGGGGAACCAGGTTAGGGCCTGTGTCAGCATCCCAGGGAGGGTCATCTGACTCCAGTTATGTGGACTCTGGGCTGGGGTTGGGAGAGGGTTTGAAGTTTGACTGAAATAGCCCCTCAGTGGGTTTTAGTTTTATTCTTACCAGTGGGCATCATAGGAGATGCACAGTTTGGTGGTATGATTTAAACCTGCAACAAGCAGGCACATTGAAGAGTTGAGTGATCACACTGGAGATGATGGGTGGGCACGAGTTGACTGGGAAAGGGCCTGGGTCCGTTGGGGTAAAGATAACCTGATTAATTGGCCATGGGAGATTAGGTCACAGTCTTAAAAGCCGAGTTAATAGGGCAGAGGCCAGGTTTTAGGGAGACTTCTTGGCCTCCTAGGGCCAAGTTTACTAAACCACACTGAAGCTACAATATTTTCCAGATGGGAAAAAGTGTACACTACAGTTGAAGAGCTGAACTGTGCTAAATTGGATGTTGACCAGGAACCTATTAGCCCTTTGCTGGGAAGCCTTCACCCTCCAAGCTTCCCTGGGGTAGGGAAGGCCTCCCACATTATGCAATAATAAAATAAGCATCTGGGTCTTTGCAGCTGTCAGTTGCTCTTTCAACTCTAGGATCCATCTTTGGGCCAGAAGCCTGGTCTGGGCCTAGGATGACACTGGCCCTTGAGATGCTAGAGTCGACTGCACTCTCTCCTTACCTGCAGACTATGCACAGTGCCTGGGGCGGAAGGTGGAGAGGTGGTGCCGTTTGCCCTGCTGAACCTCCCCAGCAGGAACAGTAGTAATAAATGCACTTTTCACACTAAGGTTTCTTTATTAGTTTTCCTGTTAAGCCTAGATCCTCCCCTGGTAGACTGCAAACTCAAAAGTCTGTGTGGTCCCAAAGCCATTCTTACTGCAAATACCCAGCAGTGAAGATGGCCTCAAATTGGGTTCCTGTCTGCAGTGTATGGCAGCAGCCCATGTGCCTTTACCTATTGTCAAACTTGCAAGCATTTATTTGTTTTTATGACTGTCATGGGGACTGAGGTTCATCAGAGAGAGAGAGAGAGCGTGAGCTGATGACACAGTGGTTTTACACCCACTCCCGGGACAGGGAGTTTGCACATAGTTGTGAGCTGTGAGTGGTTAGTGCATTGTTGGTATTGCTGAAGGCAGGGTTCATCCCTCATTTGCTTGATAATTGCATTCGAGAGAATCTCGTGTTGGGGGAGAGACTATTCATGGCAAACTTGAAGTATTAAAAATAAGGCTGTCCCCTATAACCTTCCTAGTCACACCCAGGATCCCTGTAGCCAAAACAGTGTATGTTCCAGCTGCAGAGAGCAGACTGCTCTCAGCTTGCACAGCACCTTAGGGGAGGGAAGAATATATGGATAGGGAATGGGGTGGAGAAAGGAGGATGGGAATGTTGTCATCCAGTTGGCTTTAGGGTCCTGAGAAGTGGAGAAGGATGCCACTGGGGAGGTCTGGATGGATCTGATTGGTGTAGGAGTTCCCTGTAGATAAATTACTGACCCCCAACTACCATCCCCAGTATGTAATGGCTGAATTAATATGTAATCAACTGCATTGTATCTAAAGCCTTAGAACTAGTCAGGTGCTCCCCCCACCCACACCATTTCTTACCCTCTAATCCTACCTGATCTTTAACAAAGCATTAATAATTCTAAGGATAATCTCTATTTTGTTGTGCTTTTTTGTAACTGTTTTAAATAAATCAATTTGTACTGTATATTTGTACTTTTGTGAGATCCTTTTTGCTGTTTTACCATTTTAAGTCTCTGTACTTGGCTACACACAGATTGTATTTTTATTGTTAATGCTCTTCTTATGAATACCTGCATTTAACTTGTGGACTATGTAAACACAATATATATCAATATCTATATATCTATATATCTATCTATATAAACTACTAGCTTTTCCTTTTGGTGTTTGCGCCTTCTTCCTAGCCCAGCCTTAGATGATGACCATTGGGTGGGGGATAGAAGCCCTTCGTGGGAGAGCTTGTAATAGAGAGCAAATGGTGCCCATCTTTATGTGGTGGGCTTGGGGCAGATTACGTGAGCTAGTCCGGAGGCATGGTCCGCACATTTGTTGGTGTGTGTTTCAGAGACCAGAAGTCTACTTGTAGACTTATTAAATACTAGCACAATCAATCAAAAGGACCTGTAGATGTCTTCACTGTTGGCCGTTTTTCCATTTCTTTTTCTTTCCTCAGGAGTACTGTCAGAAATGGCTGGAATAAGTCAGTTCCAATGATAGTTACAGCTTCTAACTCCAAAAGCTTGCCCCTGGCAAGAGGTGAAACTCAGATACAACCAGTGACTTGGATACACTTATTGAGTACTTACTGTGCCACAGCCTATCCTACGTACCTTATATATTAACAATCATTTGTTGCTAATACTATTCCATTTTGTGGATAGGGAAACCAAGACGGAGGTCAAGTAACTTCCCCAAAGTTACACAGCTATTAAATAGCAGTGCAGAATTTTAAATCCAGGCATCTAACTCCTGAGTCTGTTACCTTAGTCTGTTGTGAAAATTAAATGAGATAATCCATGTAAAGTGGTCAGAATAATCTTTGCCACATAGTGAGTACACCACCATTTTGAAGGATCCCAAGTAGGCCTTCAGTAAGGAGTTTAGTGAGAGAAAGGCATGTGGTTCAATTAAATACTTTCTTTTAAATGCCCAGTACACTGTAATAAACTTATTGAAATTTTTGTATTTTTCAGAATATTCCAGCCTGCCTGGTAGGAATTAACCCTAGTTTATTGGGTCAATTAACACTATTAAATAGCCTTGAACCTATGGAGGTCAAGGAAGAGTCCAAGTTTCCTTGTTAGTGATATCGGAAGAGTCCACATTCCTGGCATAGTTATTTTTCTGGCTACAACTTAACTAGGGCACTTCCTTCTGGACTTCGAGATCTATAATTATCTAAACTGTACACAACCTTTGGTGCAGGCTAAGGAAAGTTCTGTGCTTGTTCTGTACCATCCCAGAAGCTTTTTAGAAATGATCTCAGCCCTTGTCTCCTCCAAGGTTTGGCAGCCATACAAGCTGCCAGAGTAGTCATTTTGCTCCAGCCTTGACCACTATTGACCTTAGCTCTCCTATCACTTTAAAACTGGTTATCCTACCTTGGCTCTGGAGAAGAAATAAAAAGATGGATTACCTCTTTCCAAACCTGAGTTTCTTGATGCTATGGACCTTAATATTGCAGCTATTTCTATGAACATATTCCTAAGTGCAGCTGTGTGAAAGGTTTAGAAGTCTGACAAATTGAATTTGGCTTGGAAAAGTCGCCAGCACCTTGTCTAAATACCGCATCCTGTTTAGAAAATGTTATGAGGGAAGGTGTCTCCTTTTGAGTTTGGAAAAGGTAAGCTAGGTAAATTGCCCTTGCAACTGTGGATTACCTTTGTTAGGGATGTGGGAGTGGACCCTCGCAAAGTCAGCATCTGTTCTTTAAAGTCAGAGTAATGCCTCATCAATTGTCAAGGCCCAAATAAGGGATCTTTGCTTGGAGAGCCTACTGAGGGGCACCCTCCCTCGGAAAAGGACAACTGCCGAAAGCCACTGCCTGAAAACTTCCACCCACGTATCCTAGATCACTCGATTTGCTAGGATGAAATTGAAGGAAAAGCAGGAGAGGGCCAGTAAAGATAAAATTAATTTATTTGCCCTCACAACTCCACGGGCCATACTGGGGCCCCACAGTCCTACAGCATGCTCTGCAGCAGTGGGCTGGGAGTCCAGTTCTCTGGAGTGCCTGCTCCCTTGTCCAGAACTGCCTTGAGCTGGGTACCTCCTGACCCCATCATCCCGCTTCCACATGCAAGAAGCGCACAGGTCTGCCTGCAACAAACCTGAGCCTGCCTCTGGCAGCAAAGACAAGGCCCTGTGGGTGGCTGCAGCCTGATCCCTGTGGACTTGGGTGGGTAGGTGAGCGGGAGGGCAGATAGGTGGGTATGTGTGGTTCAGTGCAGAGAGCTGCTGTTCTGTTCTTCAAAGGCCATCTTGCCCAGGAGCTGGCTGTCCAACTCCACCCCACTCACAGGTAGCTGGAAGAAGTTCATTTCAGCTGCTAAGGCTGCCATGGCAGAAGGGTCCTGGCCAAACTGAGCTCGCAACATCATGTCCATTTTCTCCAGCCGCCTCTTGAGCCGCTTGGCCTCCCGCTCCCGGATGAGCCGGGCCTGCCGCTTCTCCGGGGTTTCATTGGCTCTCTTGAGCCTCATGGCCTCCCGATCGCGCTGCAGCCGGCGAGCACGCTGCTCATCTGTCTCCTGCATGCGCTGTAAGCGCTTGGCCTCGCGGTCCCTCATGCGCCTTACCTCCCGTTCCTCGGGGGTCTCATTGTCCCGCCGGCTCTTCTTGGCCGTGCGCTCTCGTTCCAGCCGCTGCAGCCGTACTTCCAAAGGCTCGTTCTGTCGCCGGAGGGCCCACTTGCGTACACTGGGGGTCTGGGCTTCCAGTAGCTTCCGGTAGGCAGCACAGTTGTTGCATACGAGCAGAATTCCAGCAGGGTACACTGGAGGGCTGAAGGCAATGTCCTTCCCCTCAGCACTTGAGGGGCCCTCACTGTGGGCTGGGGGTAGGGATTCCATATTAAGTACTTCAGGAAGTTTCTCGCTGGAAAGCAAACATTTTTTATGGTTAGTGTCACTTTATAGCAAGGCTCAGGTATCCATCTAGTCCTGACCTACTTGTCCTACCAGGCCAGTTGCTCCAAGTTCACCACTAGGGGTCAGTTTGAGTGCTTGGGAGACTTCTTCCTCTCCACCCCCGTTCTTCTTTGGGCTAGGGCATCTACCAAGTCTTAAAGCCCACCTGGAGTTAAGAGACTGAGCTAACTGCCACAGCAAGCCACTGGGAATCAGATGAGCCCTTACAATGTGCAGTTTTCATTCAAGCCGGAATGATGGTGTTTGGTGGGAGCTGTGCAGGGCTGTCCTGCTGTGGCAGGATGCAGTCCTCCTTGAGGTAGACGCTGCCTTCAGGGGAGGTACATTCCACTAGCCCAACCTCCATCTCCCCTGGCCAACTCTGCAAATGGGACTAGGACACAATTCACACAGCTCCACTCTCCCGGGACACAGGACACAGTACGTCTTCACATCAGGGTCCTCTCAGCACTCTTAACTTCTTTCCCCAGGCTTTATTATGAATATTCTTGGACTTCCCCACATCTCTTTCCAGATGAAAATATTCTGATAGGGGAAAGAAACAGGAATTCATTTCCTTTTGGGATATCTAATGGAACAGGCATATTTACTGGCCTCATCATTTGTATATCCAAAGAGTCAAGAATCAGTAGCCTTTGCATGAACCTACCGCTAGCCTTCACTTTGACCTGGGAAAGCAGAACCCATCACACCCAGTACTTTGTTCCCAGCACAAGAGAGTTAGGTACCCGGCTAACCTGTTAAATGTGGCATGGCTGGTGAAACGGGCTCCACACACAGCGCAGTTAGACCGCTGGTCCTCCGAGTGGATGAGGAGGTGGCGACCCAATGACCCTGGGGAGCTAAGGGCCCTGCCACAGACAGGACACATATAGCTCTTGGCGCTCACCACTGCAGCAGTGTGCTGTAAAACAGAGCCTTAATCTGTCAACTCACCCCACCTCCACGACAACCTATGCTCACTTAGGAACTACTTTCTGGGAAACGTCTCTTTTCTTTAGTCTCAGAACAAAGGACTTGCAACTATTCTCCCCGTTTAGCACTTGGAAAAGTAAAAGTCTCTTGTGTTATGGGCCTTCAGAAGGGCCAGGCCATTCAGACCACTGCTGCCATGTCATTTGTTTGAGTCCTGACAACATTCAGGGACATGTGGCTGAACTGAGGAACAATGGGGCGCCAGAGCCAGAGCCGTCTTCACAGCCTGAGAATTCGTGCTTGGGATAACTTCTCTGACTGCTTGTTCACTCTGTGTGGGTCTAATTGCAGGTGGAGGGAGTGCGAAGGCCAGTCTAGAAGCTGGCTAGGAAGACTGGTATTCAAAAGGGATTTAAGTGTCCTGCCTTCCCCTCAATCTTTTAAAAACAATCTTTCGAAGAAATGCTTCTCCTCATAAACCAACTATCTTTATGGTAAAACCCACATTGCCACGTATGCTGATGCCTTTTCAATACAGCTCACAGGGCACAGGTGCTCTGCGACTGGATCAGGGAAAAAAAGAACACAAAAGTTTGTCTTATTCTGACTCCCTTTTTTATACTAACTTTCTCCAGTATTTCTGAAACATTTATGTTGACTCATTTTTTCGTCTTTAAAACAGGGCCCTCATTATTAACAGGTGTTAGTTTATATTTCACTATTTAAAATATGCATTAAGTAATTTTTTAAGATGATACTTAATTTTCATAGTATGTCTGCCTGGGAACCCCGAAACTTATTTACCCAACATATCCCACTTATTTTCCAAAATGTTCTAAGGATCGGAGTGGAGCCTTAATGAGAGCAACAACCCAAGGTTCCTCTGAGAGCTGCAGACAAAGGCTAAAAGCTGCAGGCGCGTGTGCCAGAGCACACAGCTCCCCACACCATACCTGGTACACGTGAGCAATCAGCTGCTCCCGACTCCCACAGTCTAGCTGGCAGAGGGGACACTGGCAGAGTCCAAGTAAGGGGTCAGAATTCAAATTGTCTGGGACCTGCAATTCAATAAGTAGGCAGTTAATTAAGGCTGTTGCCCAGTCTCTTCCCCGCCCCTACTACTGTTTTTTTTTTTTTTAAGATTTTATTGGGGAATTGGGGAGGGGAACAGCGTTGGGGAATCAGGGAAGGAGAACAGACAAGTTGCTCTCCTTTTGTTCTTCAGTCTAGTTATGGAGGACATCGCTTCACTGGCCCATGTTGATATTATCATTGCGCTCTTCCCAGGTGAGGCAGTTGCTCGCCGGCCATTG